GTGATAAATCGATTTAATTTACAATAATTTTATAAATATTAACAGTAAAAAATTGAAATCAGAACACAATACTAATATAACATAAAAGCATGTAACAGAGTAGTTGCGAGAAAATTACTTTCACTTCTATTTTTTCTGGCTTCTGCGGCGTAAATCCTCGCGCGGCGTATATACCGGAGTTATCCAATTCATGTTAACCATCAAAATTTTTTTATCAAGAATTAACTAAACCAACTCAATTCAATTATTTTGTTCAAAATATTAGTAGCATTTATTTTTGTTTGCATGCTATTTAGTTATCCAAGTAATATATTTGTTCAAATTTCAAGTATCGAACTGGCTAAATCATGCTGATGTGAGGATAATAAATAGTGTGTATTTTTAATCGAACGGTTGAATTAAATACGATAAATTTTTGTTGAAACAAAATAGTTTAGTAAAAAAATAGTATTTTGTTTATAATAGTAACAAATCATTTTGTGTCATTGTGATAATGTTTAGTTGAACTTATCGGACTATATATTTTGATAAGATGAAACAAATTTTGTGTTTTTCAAAAAATTTTTTTCTTAGTGCAATACATGTTTAACAATTATAACGCGCAAACGTTTAGACTCTGTTCCGAGTTCTCAGTGCAATAAATTAAACTGTCCACCAGCGCAAATCCACCGGCACAATAGGACCTTTGTCAATCTCATGGTCTCTTCTTCCCATCGTCATAGTTAAGAATCCAAATTTTTTCGATAGTCAAATAAAAGTTAATTCTTAAGACGGATATCTGACGGAGATCGAATCGATAATAATACTAGTGTTGAAATGTTATCAAATTATTCGATACAGCTTAGGAGATCGTTAAATAAAAGTACATCAATATAACGCGCAATATTGCGATATTCCCGATAAACTTGTTTTCTCTTTCCTTTTTTCGAGATCAAGATCCCTCCATGAAAACCGTTCGATTCCCGTTAATGTTATCTTTTACCGCGCGTCATACGGTGGCGAATAACATCTATTTGCGTGCATCGCATGACGCGCGGGGAAAGGTGCGACGAGGGATTTTATATCGCGCGTGATTTACCACGCGGCGGCGGAAATCTCGGAGCGCGGAGCTTATGCAGTGGAGGGATCTCTCTCTCCTTCTCCGATTTTTCGTCACCGGCGTACCCCCCCCCCTCCTCTCTCTTCCTCTCTCTCTCTTTTGCGCGCTCGCGAAAATTCCGATAGATATCCCTTGTCACGTATCGACGTGCGCCGGGAGATGATACGGAGGCTGCATCGAGGGTGCGAAACCTCGAGATGCGGGCGGCATTCGTCGTCAAAAGAAGCACATCCTCTCGACACGGTGCGTAGATATATTCGCGCGCGCGCGAATATACACGTTGTGCGGATGTAATGTAAACTCCCGCAAATATCCGCGTATATCCGTGGACCCTATCCCTCCCCCACCCCTCCCTTCCCTCCCGCGGATAGGCGAACGTTGGCGGTAATGGAATTTGACATTAGGATCGACGTCGGAGATGCGCCGCCGGCGCTCTTATATACCCGGCATAAGAGCGAATGCAGACAGCCGACGAGAGAGAGGACGAACGAGACTTTTATCGCGAATATTGGCGGTCGTGGAGAAATTTTCCCGCGGTGTGCATGCTCGACATTGCTGCGGCAGATAATGTCACGCACGCACGCATAAATGTATACAGAGAAAAGGCACAAGATACAAGGGAGAGATACGATACGGCCTGTATTTATGATATTAATCATGTCGGACAGAAAAGTTTTACCTTTTTATATGGAGTTTTGATGGCTACGTTAATTAATCATAATTGAAAAAAATCTCAGAATATAATATCGGCGAATGTGCTAATTAAGCACACTCTCCGTGCTCGGCGGAAGGAGCGTTGCTTCTTTTGCATTAATTATGAAGCGCTACATTAGCATTGATCATAAATATACCGGAATTTTTAATTTTTTAGCGTACACCATACATAAAACACGAAGGTTTGAGAACATTGTATCAGCAGGTATTTATATCCACACTGAGAAAAATGGCTTGTTTATACCAACAAGATGTATCTACATGATTGAATGAATTTTGATGCAGAAACCAAACAGAATTTCTGACTATAAGAGGATTCGATAATTCATCACCGGAGTATTTAATAGATTTTACTATACGAATTTGATTAACATTTTCTAATTAGATCTACAAAACTTCTTGTTATATTCAATAAACGTTCCCCGCAAGCAATATGCTACACCACCACGAGATGAACGTAAAATAAATTTATTTCTTGTATTTAAGAATCACTAACTACAGAATAGAATAAGACGCAGTATGAGATTTTATTATTTCTAAAAGTGGGATCAAAGATGAAAATAACTGAAAAATATATTTTAATAACATAGTTTTTAGTTCTGTATACCAAAATTAATTCAGAACCTTATAATTCCTGGAAATTAATATGTGCTAAAATATATTAATATGAGAGATTTGGTTACACACAACAAGAAATTTTAATATATTTAATATAAAAGAATTGTTCGATCGAAAATTCTAGTATATTTAACAAAAAAAAATGATTCAATTGACATGAAATTCTGATATGTTTAACAAGAAAGAATTAATCATATTCGTCTGGTGAATCCTACAAGAATTCTTTCGTCGATTTTCAAACAGACATACTAGTTGACTCTAGCAGATTTCCAAATAATGCAACCAGATTCTTTTTTCAGTGCATGTATTTTGGCGTGGATTACTCAAATATATTCGAATTTTAAATCGATCAAGTAATTATTAAAATTAATAAATCTGTAAATTAACTTTTTTTGGTCATAAAATTATGTACTCTTTTAATCTCTCTTTCATACTTATCGCTCGAGAAAAGGCGAGCAATCGTAATCTCTTTTAACACATTTACATATATTAATTAAAATAACGAAAAGCGAAAGTCGCAAATTTCTCACGTGCGTGTCTTACGCTAATTTACGTGATATATAGCGAATACCGCCAAGGAATATCTTTCATCCGCCTCGACACCTCGGATGTTCGGAGACGCGATTATTATCGGCGCAATACGCGGCGGTTGTTAATGAATTAAACTCGTAATTTGCGTCACGATCAATTACGAATTACCGAGTCGAATCCGTAATTCGCCTGTTAATTGCATTGTAAATTATAGATTCTTCGTTATAAGCGCGCGTGCAGCAAGCGCGAATGTATGCGTAATTAATCAATTAAGTGCTGCCGCACACGCGCGCGCGCGCGCGTTCGCGCACGCGGAAGATTAGGTGCTCTTGGCAATTCCATTTAGGGCCAGAGTCATTTGTAACAGCCCGTTTACATGCGTTACGCGAGCTCTCGCTGTGACCCTGACATTTTTAGTGCAAATTGCGATTTGAATATTTCCAGCGTGCGCGACCGCCACCAGGCTTTATAAATTGAACCGTTGCGTTGTTTGCAACGGGCAGGACCGCCGAACAGGTTGTGCTATCGCACAACTCCATGGAATACCAACAATACTGGCATTGCGAATGGAACAGTGTTTTAATTGATCCTAGGCAATAAACTGAATAAACTGATCTTTCTCTCGTCTTTCGTTTATTTTAACTTTTATTACAAAAATATTTCTTTCACTGAGATCATTTTTCTAATCTTGTAATTTTTCGCAACTGCTTTGTGTCTGATTCTCCCATTTTAGTGATTGAGAGAAAAGTGTTTGGTATTTATGATTATGACTATATAATTGATTATCTGTGGTTAAGAGAGTCTCATTTATATAATTATTAAAGTGCTAATATTAATATAGTAATTATATTTACAGGTCTACGAATATATTTTTTTTTAACACAAATTAAATTGAGAGAAGGCCATACGCGGTCATAGCAAAATCTTGATGTCCTAATATTTCCTACATATTCTAGTTTTAGCGAACTGCGTGCCGTTATTTTCGGATTCAACATAGCTCTTTGAAACAGAACCGTATTATAACGATTATTAAATTGATAATCAATTTAATAAATACTGCGGCATCTAATAAAATCCCTCCTATCCCCGCAACGCGAAATAAATAAAAATTATTTGTTGCGAAAAATATTACCTTAGCCAGGATTTGAATTTGCAGGCAGTTCGCTGAAACTAGAATATGTATGTAAATTCACATAGAAATATTAGGAGCACCAAGATCCTGCTATTACTCACTAGTACCTGCTATGACCTTCTCTCAATTTAATTTGTGTTAAACATAAACGGTCGGAATATATATTGATATGTACTTATATATATATTTTTATATAATTAGCACTGAAAATAATTATACATTATAATTAAATTATAGTAATTGCAACCATTTTTGTTCTTACAAAAGGAAGGCCAGGTCAGTGCATCACGGATCCTGATTCCAATTTTTTTGGTGAAACTAAAGGCAAAATATAGTGTCCGAGCGTTTGATTGAATGGACCTTAGTTTTCGAGTAAAAATTTAAAAAAAATAATTTTTTAAATAATAATATTTATTGTTTAATAATAAAAAACGATATATTTCTTTCATTTAACATCGATTATAATAATGCTTGGGAAAAAACACAAATTTTTATGTAAAAAAGTAGTATATTACAATATCAGTAATAAAAAATAAAAAAATAATAAAAACATGTATTAAAAAAAATTGCAGCATGCAGGGATTGTGAACATGGACTCCCGGATTGGAAAGCAAGCCTTTTATTTACCGGGCTATATCGATGTTGAATGAAAGACTTATATCGTTTTTTATTATTAAGTATTGAATATTATTATTTAAAAATTTATTTTTCGAAAATTCTTACTTGAAAACTAAAGTCCATTCAATCAAATGTTCGGACACTGTATCTTTATTTTGCCTTTAGTTTCACCAAAAAAATTGAGATCAGGATCCGTGATGCACTGACCTGGCCTTCCCCTTATCAGTGTAAATTGTCAAATTGAATCTATTATTGTTAATTGTAATCATTATCTTACTGTATTTTCAGACCATCCGAATGTCAAGTGTTACTTTGGTCACGGCGGACTTCTCGGCCTCTCGGAGGGTGTCTACGCGGGTAAACCGATGATTCTGATGCCGATGTTTGGCGATCAATTCCACAATTCCGCCGCCGCGGCGTCCAGAGGTGCCGCGGTGGTGATTGCGTACGACAGTTTAACGGAACAGTCATTCAGACGCGCTGTGGACGAGGTTTTCAACAATACCAGGTGCGCCTCTAACTCTTTGTTTTAATCCTAAAATGAGAAATCTGTTTTCCACCTTTATTTAATACGTTCGAAAGATTTCTTTAATTTCTTTGAAAGAAAATCTTTTTGCGAGACATAAAGGGAGATTTATACTGTTAAAATCGCGATTCGATTTCATCGATCGGGTTTTTCATCAGTGACAAAAGTGGGAGGAAGGGATAAACTCGCGCACGGATTAATAAATTAAATTCACACTAATCATTTTATTAGGAACAAATCCGAAATCGACCTTTTTTCCCAGACAGTCCCGCGGGCGCATCTCGTAGACGCGCCGGCGGGACTGTCTGGAGTTTCGCTGGAACGCATTTCCGGAAGGTACAGAATTATCTATTACAGTAAGCTACCCCCGTGCCCGCCGATATACATCGGTCGCGTTAAAATTTCTCGCTCGTGCGACATCACGGCGATGGCGTGGAGCGTGGAAAAGGATCGCGGGTGAAAAAAGGAGAATCGCATAATCTGTCCGGATATTCGCTCCGTTGAATATCTCACGAGCCGTCCGGACGCACCGGATATCCGGCAAGTGCATCGTCGTTGCAGCGCGCAGCCGAGGCGCCTCGTTAATCCGTAGCGCGGCTCACTGGCGTTCCCAAACCCCCTTTCAACCTCTTTCCCCCAATCCCTCTTCCACCCCAGCTTTCAACCCTCCCCGTGCTCTTTCTTTCTCTCTGGCTCAGTATACTCGCTGTCTCTCTCGTTCTCCGAGAAGGTACATAGACAGTGTTGTGTTGGGGCAAGCAAGAGGGATTGGGTCCGTTGAGCGGGGCACGGTGCGCATTCAGCACTCTTGGCATAGCCCTCCGGCACGGACAATTTTTTTTTCCCTCCCTTTCGACACACCGTCGCTCTCTTCGTCGCAAATTCGAGGCACGAATCGCGGAAAGAGCGGACGTGTTCCCCCGGATGGTGTTCTCCAGTTCCCCTCTTAATTCCCTCGACTTCGTCGATCGACGGACGCGCCGGATCGGCCGAGCGAGCGAGCGAGCGAGCGGGCGGGCAGACGGACGGGCGTATCTGGCCCGCGCGCGCGTATCCGGCGCGGGGAAATCGCATGGGAAATTCCGCGAGCATTAAATGTTTCACGGGGGTACCGAATCAACGGCGCGCCGCCGTCGATGACGACGCGGAAGCGTGCCGAAATGAAATTTTACATTATTCAACGTTGTCCTCCCCTCCCTCTCTCCCTCCCTCCTGCACCTATTTCACTCTCTTGCCAAGTACGGTCAACTTGTTAACTGCACGCGCGTTACCGAGAGAGAGAGCGGCAACCGCAAACTATAACCGCTCTCCACGGGGAAGGTGTCGAATCGAGGAACGAGGCGCACGGCGGCGTCCCCCAGGATAAGGCGAAGGAATTGTACCTTTGTTTATTTGATGTAACCGGCTTCTTCAGAATTCTTACGACGGCGATGGTGATTTTTTTTTACTTTGTTTGTAAGGTTTCCCAGAAGGTCTGATTTCAAATAACGCTCGGATGAGAGTTCACGTAAAATTATATATATTGAAATATTAAAAATAGAATAAAAACGTTGTGTATACATATATATGTATATTATTTATAGCCAGGGCTGGGCATATTTCAAATACTTGTATTTGAAATAGAATTTGTATTTTGTATTTTGTATTTCAGCGGAACACGTAAAAGTATTTTGTATTTTGTATTTCAAGTGCAATTTCAATCTATTTTGTATTTGAAAATACTAAAAAAATTATTGATAAAAATTCTTGACAACAATTAATAGTAACTAAAATTTTTTTCATATGACAATTAGCGACACTAATTATTTTCATCAAGTTTCAAGCAATATCAAATCATTAGAGTCAAATTTCATAATCTTACATTAGTAAATAGATTTCTCTGCGATTGATACAAGACATGAATAGGATTGTTAAAGAGTGTAAGAGAGTAAAATAACTTTTCTTTCTCTCTCTAAAAGTGGAGAGGGAACTGTTGGAGGGGGAGCTTAACATTATATATTATTGAAAGATTAAATTAAAAAGTATTTTGTATTTCAAATAAAAGCTTAAAAGTATTTTGTATTTCAAATTGAAAGATTGAAAGTATTTTGTATTTTGTATTTTAAATCGAAAGATTGAAAGTATTTTATATTTTGTAATTCAAATACTAAGATTGCCAGTATTTTGTATATTTTGTATTTTTAATACTTTAATGATGTATTTTGCCCAGACTGTGTATAGCCCTACTTGCACAGTACGTGAAAGAAACGTGCCGTTTTGATCGCAAAGTCGCAAAAAATATGATACGTCTCTCGTACGTTGCAACAACGTAACATATATATTAAATATAATTTGTTTTAATTAATCAACTATTTATCAAATTTTTTATATATTATGATTCACACATTTCGAAAATTAATTTTTTAATTTTTTAAAAACTATTATTTTTTATGTAATAAATTTCGCTGTTAATTACACATGACAGCAACCTTGAAAGTTCTGCGGTTTTCACATCTGCATAGATGCTAATTTGAATTTTGCGCTAATACTGAATGAGGAAACCCAAACTTCAAGTTGATAAGAAAGAAGCAGTCTTTTGTTTTAAACAATGTATCCATCCATAATGGCATATGTTCAATATATTCGATTCTATATAGTGCCCTAAAGATAGAAAAACAGAAACAACATTTTTGCAATATTATGCTTTTCTATTTTAGAAAGGACAGGAACACATGCGAGACAGTGCGTAAAATTTATAAAGTTTACGAACAAGGTACTGTTTCTGGTGATACAGTTCGGAGGTGGTTTGTGAAATTTCAGCAAGATGATTTCACTCTCAAGAACGATGCGCGATCTGGGCGTTCCTGCATTGGATAATGATCTACTGAAGCAAGCTATCTCAAAAAAGTCTCGTTATAAGTACATAGTACAAGAACTGGCAGAGAAATTAAAAATTGCAAAAAATGCCCTACATAACCATTTGAACTTGTCCTCGTGAAAACCGCAGAATTATCCGGATGACCCAATATATTGAGCTATAAGTAACCACAGAAAAACAAAATTAATTGAAATGTAACAATTGAAATATTAAAAATATAATAAAAACATTGTGTATAAACATATATATGTATACATATATAAACACACACAAACGTTTTTATTGTATTTTTAATATTTCAATTATTACACAACTCTAAACTAATTTCGTTTCTCTGTGGCTGCTTATGGCTCAAAAGTGTTCGCGCTTTGATGTCTTAATTTAAAAAAAAGAAACGAGCATTTTCATTTAATTGCCAGTTTCGTTTAATGAATATTTTCATGCATGAAATTTCACGCTACTTTATTTCATTTTTATATCTCACCCAACGTTTCTAAATTTAAACGCGTAATGTCCCGCTCGAGCGACACATTCTGCTAAATATGCCACAACGTCACAAAATCGGATGCGGCAAGAAAATTTATGCAATTTTAAAAACCTCGCTGCCTATATGGCTGTATTTTCCGCCGTTAAAACTTTTACCCCGTTGCGCGTCCATGTGCGTGACTCTAATAACGCCGGGTTGGGGGAGGGGGGTATCATCGTAATTGCCGCTAACGCCGGTTTCTTTCGTGGTTCCGACTTACGGTAGCGCACGCGCGCGCGCACGTGCGGCTTCTGTTTTTCCCTCTTTAAAGCTTGTGATTTGCATTCGCGGAGCGCGCCGAAGAATGACAGCGTTATAATTATGGTGTATACACCATAATTACACCATGTTTAAGGCGATGTTAATTTGAGCGGTAACAATGAGAGGCTTCGAGAACCCACGGTTTACCGTATTTTTCTTCTTGTGCTATACCGCAAGAAAAGATGGGAAAGCTATCGTCCAAACACACACTCATATAAAGGATGCCCGTTAAACTCGCTTGACATTTCTAATTTAACCCTTTAGGTCTAGTAATTTATTTATGTATATGTGCCAGTGTTTAAAAAAAAAAATTATTCCTTGATAAATATTAAGCTGTTTAGGTCAGTTTGGAAGGGCAAATATTCAAAGAGCTTGTTTTAAAGGAAATCGTATAAATTGAATAACTTTTAACTGAAAAATATTGTGCCAATACAATCATAAAATATAAAAAGTTATTTCAATAGATCGATAAATTCTCGGACTAATCATAAAAGGTTCGACATGATGCGCACATTACTTTCGCATGGCGATTATTCAAATATAATTGATAGCTTTACTTTATATATTATATGTAATATTATTTCAATATAACAAATAAATTTCTAATAATTCATGCTATTATAATAATATTTATATTATATATGTATAATACATATATACAAATGCTCATAATTTTCAAGTCTTTCGTATTTCAATGAGAGGAGAAATAGCTTTTGATTAATACTTACAGATATAAGGAGAATTTTTGAATTTTTCTTGTTAGCAATAAATATCTAATTTTATTTTAAAAACAATTATTATATAATATTATTTAATAATATTAGAGAACTAATTATCAAAATCTTTTTCTTTTTATAGGTATAACATTTATGTCTGATTGTGTTTGTCTTTTGAATATTATTTTTTTCGAAATCTCATAATAAACTACTTTATTAAAATTTGATAATATTTTATTTCTTGAAACCGCCATATTAAATTCGCCATTTTTAATTTTTAAGTTTTGATCTCAATTTTGTATTCAGGAATCTCTCAAATATTTAAAAATAATTAGATGATATATGTCTTATCCCTAAAAAAAAGTCAGATTTAAAAAAATCAATAGAAAACATTTGTCGCAGGACTTTACGCAGGAATCCGTTGTTAAATGTCAGGTTAAAGAGAGAGAAATGATCTAACAAGACCTAAATTGAACTTTAATGAGAACTTTGTTCTAACAAAAACTTAAGTCTGGTTGTACCCACGATTGATGAAGCGAGAGGGTCATCAAAATTATTTGCAGTTTTGTGCTGCAAATATCCCTTTTGTCCAATGCTACATATTAAGCCTATTAAGTAAATA